CGACTGGGAAAAAACAACTATTTAGTCCGTCAGTCAAATAATAGAAAAATATTAGATATGTACTTTTTTTTGCTTCAATTTAACATGAAATAATTCTAAATAGTGAATTCAATCAATGTATCGCCGTAATTTAATTATTGCGCAAAACAAACCTGTTTAATATTCTTCAATAATCCACCTAACGGACAAACAAACTAAAATTAGTCATCATCCTTATACCATTTATTCGATATTATGAATACTTTAGGTATTAAATTGAACATTTTTTTTTTATTATTAATCGATAATACACTAATTTAAAATAGAAATAATTATGTATTTAAAGATTGATTTTAGTGTATTTGTTTTACTTAAGCAAAAAGAAACGAAATTAGATATAATTTTGTATAACATTTCTCATTGCGTTTAAAGCCGCTTTTATTTCTGGTTTTACAGGGTTTTAAAGGGATATTACATGGAAAATATGATTTTTTCAAACGGTACAGTTAGTTTTAAAATAAAAATAGACTTTCTAAAAAGAAATCAATGGGTAAATTGAATAAAAAAACTAAAACAACCATTTGAAAATAACTCCTATGAATGTATAAATAATAATCTAATAAAATAACAGATTTTATTGGAAGGAAACAACACAGGTGTGTCGAAGAAATCTATAATAATAACAAAAACTATGATTTTCATACCCTATCTTATTATTTACATTAGGTTTCTATATTTTAAGTGATTAGTACATGAAATTTATCAATAGTTTGAAGTACAATTAACAAAAACGGTTATTTTAGTGCATCGTAGTATGTAAGTCGTGAAGATAGCATAAATTATTTTAACACTAATTTTTTATCGAACTATTTGTCTTTTTTTTTTCAATATATTTTTATTTATAAACAATTTGCTTGAAATCCTAAAGTATTAGATATGTCATATTGAAATGTATTTTGATTCTATCAATATAATATATGAAATAAAATAAATTTCTTATCATTTATAATGTGTAAATAAGTATAAATTTAAAAAACACATAGTGCAGAATCACTAATGAGACATATATTTAACTGATATGCCGAAGTTCTTTGAAGATATCGAAGATTACATTTAGTCTAAGGTAGACAGATAGTAGATACATTTAATGTACATTTATTTATAAATATCTATATATAAATTATTTACATTATGTACATTCACCCATGGTTCTTACACAATATTAACCGTGGACGGTTTAGGCTTCAGCAACTTCATAATTTGTTCATATATTTACTGAACACTGTCAAACAGTTGCAATAGACAAATTATATCACGCCATTGCTTTAAATTACTTTACCATAATATCTTTAACAAATATTGTATTTAATGGAAATAAAATATGATTTGATTTATTTGATAACCACAATAATTTTATATTTTTCTTAATAGGAAGCACTCTTTTTAAAAATTAAAAAGTAAAAAATGTTTTCAATAAATATTGTTCAATTACCGCTCACTTTTTTTGGGGTTATCTGTGGAAATGACAAATCAAATTTATTCACGTTTGTTTTCTGTTTTACAAATAAATACATAACACTAGTACATTTCAATTTCAAATATAACAATAAATATTAATATAACAATTTTCAACGTTTCCACTTTTTTTATACAATAATAAATTTATAAGAAGATTTCCGACCTCTTTGGTTTTACAAATCAAGGTAAACGTGAAAAGTTTCGATATGTTTTTACCGCGTTTTCTTGTTTTTAGATTTCCGAAAAGATAATAAATCTCAACGACAATAACTTATGTCAATCGTGTCCTATTATTGCTTGTTCCCAATTCTTGTTACCAAGCCTTCAAGCCATCCGTCACCTAAATAGGTCATCTCACGTCACCGATGCTGAGGAGTATCACCATTGTCGTCAGTAAGAGGCTTGTGTAACTCGTGTTTGTCTTAACACCACTTTGTAACTCGGCAAGACTTGAACCTGCACAAGAAATTGTTTGTTGTTTATTTCATAAATAAACCGGACCACACACTGTATACATATACAATTATCAGTCATATACAAATATCAGTCGAAGTACATTTAAATGAATAGTTTATAGCAAAAACACATCAAAAATGAGCGTTTACTGTTATTGCAAAGTTACTTTCTTAAGGCAAAGGGATCTTTGACAATGAAGTCTGATACCTAATTGTCTAATTTTGAAATCTATTGCAATCCCTTTCAATTTGACATTTGAAAGATATTCACGTTACAGCTATTTGTAAGTTAATTATTGAACAATATCGTTAATATCATGTAAATTGGAATTATTAAAAAACGTAGACTTTTTGTAAATTTATTTACTTTAAATAAAGTTAGAATTTAATATAATAAATGTATGCGTTTATATAAACGTTAGGACGGTTGTAGTAGTAGTATTTTTTCTGCCCTGCGATACACTACGCCACCGAGCTACTTATTCCTATATAATTTCGAAACTTACTTCACTTATGCAACGTAACGTTATTATCAATTCAACGTTGGGCGGATGCCGCTTTTTGAAGTGAATTTGGACACCTGAGTAAATTCTAATTCGCCTTTAGATTTTAACAGAATCGCAGGGTAAGTCCAAAAAGTGTAAGTCCAGACACGACTTGCTCTCCGTCGATACTATTCACGCAGTAAACGTGAACACTCTTAAAATTCATAGACATTCAAAATATAAGTCACTTACGGTGTAGAAGAACACCTCTAACCGCTCCTAGGACAAACTTTACAGAATTCATTCATCGTTCACAAGGCTTTGTTACTAAGTTTAGACTCGCGAATAATGATCTTGGCAATGAATAAACTGAAAGGGAAACTCTAGAACCAAAATACGTTACGAAAACTTCAGCTGCTCTAAGTTTCCCAAAACTTTGTTTGCATAACAAAACTTTTTGCTTGACAATAAAATTATGAGACGGTTAAGTTTTTGGAGTAATTAATTATGAACTTTACGACTTCAAATATATTCCGCCATTTTTCTATCACCTGTATGTAGAATATTAATTAAAAATGTTACAATGAAAAAAAATGGATTGATTTACCCATTGATACAATTCATCTCTAAAGAAAATCAATATTCAAAGTAGACTTGTGTAGCAAAATAAATCACCATGCTATGTTTTATTGACAAAATCTTATTTTACATTTTTAAATTTCGAACATTATTAGTTAATGCCTACAACTTCGTTTACGTGGTATTAGTATTATATAACAGTAGTTTATTTTTAACAAACTTCAAAAAATAATAAAATAATAAAAAAGAGTATATTCTTGAAATAATCATTAAAACTTTGTTGAAATTAAATTAGTAATTTTGATTTTATATAAAATACTGGGAGAACTGTATCGCCTAAAATAACTGGACGATGTGGTTGCCACAAAAGAATCGTATAATGAATATGTTTTGTTTTTAAACAGAAACAGACGTAAAAAAAACGTATAAAAGGAAATTAAATTAAATTCAAACTTCATTGAGTCAGACTTGTAAATATTAGGTCCGTACATATGAAATTGGTGTTTGGTATGGGAGGAACAAAAAGTCGAATATTTTTTAATATAACATATTTATTTAATCAAAGTAAAAACCATTGTTATCTCTGCACTTTTGCCATCTTAAAGGTAGTTTAGTGATCCCCTTACTAAAAAAAACCATTCATTCGGACGGGAATCAATAAAATCTTTGAAGGCGATTTGCACTGCCCCATCGGAGTTGAATTTTTTCCCTTGCAAGAAGTTATCCTAATTTCGAAAATCTTAGTAATCGGTAAACATGGAATAAGGTCCAGGGAGTACGGTGGATGTCTTAGATATTCCAATTGAAGCTCTTCTAATTTGGTAGCTGTCTGTTGTGCTGTGTGTGGTCTAGCGCTGTCGTGAAGTAGCAGTGGCGTAGAGCGATTGACCAGCCTCGGTTATTTAACAGCTAGTTTTTCCAGCATGGTTTGCAATTGCTGCGAATAGACGTCTGCCGTAATCATCTGGCCAGATTTGAGAAAACTGTAATGAACGACACCGGCACTATTCCACCAAATGCTTACAAGTAACTTTTTTGTGGTCAATTTTCGCTTGGAGCAGGATTTGGCTTGCAAGCCAGGGTCCAACCATTGCGATGAGCGCATCCAATTATCGTAGAGAATCCACTTTTCATCACAGTTAATGATTTAAAACCCTTCATTATTGTGCCGGCTAAGTAATGTAACGCAGCAGTCGAAGCGAAATTTACATTTTTTTTATTAAATTTATATTAAAACTAAATATATTAATGATATTAAAGTGAAGCATGTACGAGTATAATAATGTGAGTAAATAAATTATTCCCCGTACAAACTTCTACCAGTCTTTTCATTCCTTCGTAGATTTCCAGTATGAAATCTATTCTATATCTTATTTATGGTCGCACAATTTCAAAACAAGATTTCATCTAAATGGTTAACTAGATCTGCTAGATACTTTGGCTTTTCTATCATTATTAAGAATAGTTAATGAAGAAAGATTATCACTTTTCTGGTAAAACTGATAAAGTTGTAAATATATCTCCTACCTACGGCAAAAGATTAATACCAAAGTGAAGGTTTATTCCTGGGATTTATAAACGTGTAATATTATTTTTTTTTATCAATTTAAGGGTAGCCACGGATCGTTCTGGCGTCGTTGCTATTTAATTTCCAGTGATGTATAAGGCCATCGTAAAAGTGAGTCTATTATTATCTATCTGGGCATAATACGATTTGTCATCATTTCTTTATTTGAACCCCCTTACAAATAAATAACAGATAAAGAGATAATATTCTTAATTGTATCTTAAACTAGCTGTAAATTTATGTAAACAACTCATTACCTCACAACATAATTTGACTAACTAATAAAATTGTAACATTAGAAATTACTTACTTAATTTAACAATAAGTCAACTGAATATACATAACTAGTTTTAGACCAAAAATAAACTATGATCATATAACAAATTGTATCTATCGAATTTTATTTCATGTTTTTCGTTAGGAGAAGCGTGTTTCTTAAATTGTCTAATTAAATCGTTATAGTTAATGTGTTTAGGTATAAACAGGCAACTCGTCAAACGTTGAGTTTTGATAATATAATATCAAAATGGTAATCGAAAAATGGCGGCGGAGTATGATTGCATATACAGATCTTGATCTGCATATTTTAGTGATGCCTAGAATTATCACATCATATTTAACACTATTCGTCTTATAATAAAACGCTGACTGAAGTTAGTACTTAGTACAATAATAGAAAAGCAAATAAAGAAGACGATTTAAGTTGGTCGGATAATGGTTTAAAACTAGTAATAAAGCTAGTCCTAATGTTATAACAAGATGGTGAAACAACATACCTTGCAAAACGTGAACTCTTGCCATTGCTTTCATTTGTAAAGGGGCTTCCAATACGCAAGTATAGTTGCCAGCATCTTCAGTTTTCAGTCGGGCCACCTGTTATACATTCAGTGGTTTAGTTATGCAACTGTAAAGTAGAAGAAATACGCTAAAAGTTTTATGAAATTGCTACGATGCTGAGGAGTATATTTAATTTGAAAGATCGTATCGAGAAAATTGCGTTGCAGTATTACACTTGAATAGGTACTTTCCTAATTATATATTAATGCATTAGCTTATCTAATAATTGTGCCTATAGCGTCTTATTGTGACAATTTCCGTAGTAGAGTGGTTCGCACGCCCGTTCTAAGCTGTTGCGATTTCCGAGGTTCTGAGTTCGATTTCCGTTAAAATCAATGTAGAAAATTAACTTGTTTATATTGTATCAGGTGTAGCTAGAACTAGGTGTTGTGGTACCTTTCTTGTCTCATATACTTCATAAAATAAGAGCTTAAGTTATTTATTATGAAATCTGAGCAATACGTGTGATGTCTAATTTTTTCTTTATTTTATCTATGCAGCTCTAGTTGTACCCTTCATATTAGAATATTATTAAAAAAAGGAATAATACAAAACACCACGAAGCGTAATGATCGAAGGCAAACGGTCCCGTTTGTTTAGGACGCACGAGATGACTTTATTTGTAGAAACACAAGTAAACATTCATAAGCTATGTATTACATTATATCGATTTTATATAAGTCAAACAACTGATGTTTTATTTAAAAAAAAAAGGATTACTACAGCGGCATCAAAGAAAAAGAATATTGACCGTTTTGACAATATGCCTAACTCAGAACTTTATTACTCCCACATTATGAATAGACGAAAGTTACCAAATGTGGAAAGATTGCCCTAATATGAACTACATTTTTGGTATGTAATTCTATATTTGGTTAGTTTTCTTTATAAATTGGAGGCATATATTAATTTGAGATTATTTATTAACAACTGCTCTAAATAAGATCACCCTACAATCACCACGTTTTATTTAAATTTCAATAATTTTATTCAAATTGCAAACTAGGTATTATGGTGAATTGGTTTTTGAACTATTAAATTTTATAAGCTTAGAATTAATTACTTCACATACACGTGATTTATATATTCCTTTTTATTAGGTAGGTAACTGTGTTTGTTGATTAAGGATATCGTGTAAACTATAAGTGTGTATTTAGATTATACAAAATCGTTTATAATGAATTTATTTGAATAAAGAATACCGACTTTCATTCGTTCACAAGACCTGGTAAAATTTCACACTCATGAATATCTCTTTACGGTTCCTATACCTAATTGGTATATATATTTAACTATTTATATTTAAGCAGGATTCCTTGTGGGATAAACACGGAGGACCTAGAATCACAAGTCCGTAAAACACAAATATAATCCGGCCGGCGAACAGAGAATCTCTTGCACAATGACCCAGCATTACATATCTCTTTTTTGTACTCGCACAGATGTATCTAGCCATTTATGTTATAGTAAAGTAAGTTAAATGTTGACAATATCAATCAGTAGGTATAAAGGACAACATACAAAGTTCTCTTTGTTTGGCGATTTGACTCTAGTAGCTATACTTTATTAAATTCTTCATATATGCTCGACGATTTTTATAGCTATTCATTAAAGATGTATCTTGATATTCCATAGCTTCTCTATCTTATTACACTTCTAACAGGTGTGTAAAAGATGCATCACAGAATTACAAATGGTATTACCTGCATATGTGGATACATAATGGTAATACCATAAGGAAAGTCTCAGAAATATTGCAAACCATTAAAACGTATAATAAATGTCAGACTCGAATATTTGTTAAACATTATTTATATCTCCTATTACCCCGACAGAAAAGGAGGGGGAGTATTTAAGTCGCCACTTACGTTTTCCGCAAATATATTACGGCAATTTAGACGAGCAGAGGTAAAATTACAGAGCCTTGGTGTTCTTTGAGGCGTGGTCTTAATGCCGGCGTGGCTGATCGGCTGTTGATTATAGAGTAGATATATGACATCCCTTCTTTAATGATGACTTAAGGATGTCAAATTAAAGAGCTTGATTTGTTCATTTCATAAGTGTATAGGTTTACACAGTACTACAAAATTAAAAACCTTCAATATAGTTTAAACAAAAAAAAGAGTTCGAAAACTAAAACGTGACATAGCCGTAGTGTTATGCCATACAAAACAAAATATTTTATAAAATAACAAGAATATCAAAACTCTAAATTAGATTAAAGATATAAATTATTCCCTTTTATGGAATAAAATATCTATACTAAGAAGAAATAATTGCTTTTTTTCAATTATTTCCTCTTAGATGTCATGTTAAGAAACTACTGGTTCGAATTTAAAAATTCTTCAATTTACGGGTAGCTTTATTTGTATGAGATAAAATGCTGTATGTATATGGGGACTTTCCAATTATTTTTTTATTTAAGATATGATTGTTTAAAACACGTGTTCCCATGGGGAACACAAAAAACTGTTCAAGTAATTTTGGTTTGCTTAATAAATGACACTGCCGATTGCAACGTGATGTAATTTATATCTAGGGTTGCCAATCATACTCGAAAATAGAATATTGTACTCTAAATCATGTATGCGTACTCTTGTCTACAACACTAATAGATGACGCTAAAATTTTTCTACGATATATTTATGAAACTAGTATCAGTCGCGCATATATGATATTATCAAAAAAGTACCAAACCATACCAAAAATACCTTTCTAAAACTGTTGAGTAATTCTTACTCTTTTCATTTGCCTCCTTTGAAATCAGATGTATTTCTTCGAATATAAGTTGACAACCCTGCTGTCCGGTTTGATAAAAAAAAATCTCTTGTAATATGACTCCACCTTTATAGGCAGTTAACCCACAGCTATCATACGGTGAATATCATATGTTCTGTTATCTGCGGCGTTTATGAAGAGCCATGACGTAATTACGTTAGCTCTCGACTGTGCAATGGTGTTTCAGTAATGACTTCATGAACGGAACCATTTCATGTTCATGTGTCATTTAAAAATCGTCGGAACAACACAAGGTCTCATCGAACACGTAGGAAACATAAAATTAGCATAGTATGTTTAGGAAAAGTTTACATTTTATGCACAAACTACAACACTCTGTGAAGAATAATTTTTTAACTTGCTTAGGAAGTAAGACGTCACGTGTACGCTAAATTTGACGAAATAAATTTCTTGATCCGTGGCAAAATCACGCTAGATAGTAGTATAGACGGCTGCACTCAAAATTCTCTAGTTTATTTATACCTACCCACAAAACATCAAGGTATAAAATCAAGTGGAGAAGACAAATTTGTATAACCTGACGTGCTGTTGACTGCAGATATATTATTTAATTATAATAAATTAAAAAAATGAAGTACAAAGACTTAATTAGTTCTGACACTAGCCTGTTTGTATTCCTAAACGGTGATAACGGTATTCAAGGTGATATTTCTTTAACAAATAAAAATTATTTTTGCATGTCTTATTAGTAATTGCTACAAATATCTTATATTTAGAATAACACTCTTCACATGCTTTATTTTAATAGTTCTTATTATATGAGAAGTTTTATGTGTAAATGTCTGGTCCATTTCAAATTATTGATAACAATCTGTTTTCGTGACTTGATCGTCCGCATAAATAGCATAAAATAAATCCTCCCGCATCTAAAGAATTTTTAAAATCAGTCTTACAGGTTCGCAATCTATTCAATGCAAATAATCAAAACTTTCCGCTTATCAAACCTCTATTAGTATACATTTAACAATATATTCCGCATATTAGGGATGATGCCAGAATAAAATAAAAACATTGTTCGTCAGTCTGTTGCTTCAAATTAACAAAAAAAAATGTTTGAAATAATAAATTTGAGAAGTAGTATCTCACTGTGTCACAATTATGTAGAAATTCTATAGAAGTTATAACATTATATGGCATTTCAATTTAAAAAAAAAACAAATTGAAAGTGGATGAAAAAATAATTGCCATTGAAATGCCACAGAAATCTTACCTGTAAATGACTTGTCAACGTCAAATGATCGGTTTCAATCAAAACACCCCCTCTCTGCTCATCTAATGGGGTTGTAGTATTGCCTTTATACCACCGCAATGCAGGCTCCACACTCCCAGGATGTAAGTACACCACCGCGCACTTCAGCGAAAGTGTTTCACCGCTCTCGAGAAAAGCCTCTTTACTCATTCTTATTTCTGGCGCTGTGAACAAATAACGTCTGTAAGGAGATTGTGTGTAAAGGACGTGAACACAATTTGTTAAAGATGTCTTTATATATCTTGGTTATTAGTTTTAGTACTTAGAAGCTTAGGTAATGTTTATTATCAATATTTCAAGCCCTATGCAGATATTACTTATTGAATAAGTTAAATGAAAGACTCAATTTTTAGGTGCTATATAAAGCATATATCGTTCGGAATATTAAAACTTAAGAGAACAAGATAGGGATCGAGACGAGTATTAAACGTCTAAAATATTTTTTATTAATTATTAGCAAACTATTACGTTTATTTTTATAATATACTTAATTATATTATTATAATTAATTACAAGAAGAACTGAAAAATTGTTAGTTTTAGAGATAACTTTGTAATTTTTGTATAAGCAGATTTATAAAATCACATTTGACTGTGGAAAACCCCTAAAATACGATTTCATTTTCCCATTTTCATTACAGCGTTTTAAGCTTTATCTTTTTTCAAATCAATTCATAGTCACCGATTTTTAGTTTAAACGCCCTTTTGAATTCCTGTTATTTTAGCTCCTCCTAAATTTTTGAACTAACCTTAGTCGATGAGTCATTATTATATTTCATCCGTTTGAGTACCGGCTACAACTACCGAATATTATAGTAGTCGAAGGTTATAAACACACGACATTATTATTATTATTATAATCTCATTGTTTTAAACGACTATATAGTATTTGTGTCTAGTGTAGATTGATATTTTTATAGTTATTAAGAATAATTATTTCTAGATCAAAGCTTAAAGTCTTTAATTTTATAGAACTGAAAACTATAACGTCCAAGATAAAGTCTTTAAATCTCAACTTCTTTTCTACGGAAGATAATAAAAACTTTCAGAATGTTGCTACTGTTATCAAAAACCTGAGTACTTCCTAACAATTATTAGAACATGCCCGTCTTTGAATAGGGGTTTGATCTATACTATTACTTTGTGTCCAAGCCTGTTCTACCAGTAGTCTTGTATTCGTCTTTGAGTTAGATACAAATGTCGAATGCTCTTATTGTCGGATCGGGTTGCACTAGGTATGAATGTCGATCCTCTGGCTTGCCGATGTGGAGCGGGATGGCTGGTAGTGAGGGGAACCAGGGAGTTCAACCTACGTATGTGGGGGAGGGAGCTTTCCATCTCGCACTCTGGCCGCGGGGTCGTCGGTGTCCGACTGCAACACACACCGTTCGGTGTGTGGGGTGATCGGGCTCCGGCGGGGCCGCGGCCAGAGTCGCGACTAAGGAACGGTGTACCGGGGAGGAGGGAAGGTCACCGGGGCTATCGGGGAGAGGGGCACATATGGGGCAACCCATATGTGTCCCCACGAGACAGTCGTTAGGGCAGGAGGGACACAGTCGCGTGTCTCCTGTCCTTGACGAGGGGCAGCCTGGTGGTTTGCGCGCCGCCGGGCATTGCACGCTCCTTGTCCTGTCTGGGGGGGTGAGACTCGAATGTTCCTGAGCCTCCCCCCCTAACCCGAGAGGGAACCTGCCCCGTCTGGGCGGGTTCTTTGAGGGCGGTACTGTGGCGAATGGCTTTGCCGACCCCACGGCCGCCTTCTTTGTGAGGGACATCGGCAGGTTTTAGTGGGTAGGCCCTGGCCGTCTGCCGGGGAGAGCCCCACATCACCCGTGGACCACGCGCTGTGGGAAGCGGGTATGCAATTTCATGCATTTCCTTCCGTCAAAAAAAAAAAAAAAAAAAAAAAAAAGGTATGAATGTCGATGCTATTCATAACATATACTAGATACTCAGCATAGATAACATATTAATGAACAACAGTGGACATATCAATGAACTGATGATGATAAGATGCAACATTAAATTTGTCAATATAATTTATGAATTTGTAGATATGTTGCTAATTTGTTTTGAGGTGTGTCGTCATTTCTTGATTAGATTTTTAGTCAGAACAATGTGCAAAATTAATTCTGTTGTAAATGATCATGAAAGCTTAAAAACATTTCTCCAGTCTGGTGTTGTGATATTAACTTCATTTTTGGTTTCCATAATCTAAGCTTTAGCTACTTAATTTGGAATTAGACTTAATATTTATTTATTATTACTTAGCACAAGGTTTTGGAAATATAATTATTTCTTCAAAATATTCCTTACGATTATCACACTACTCACGATGTACGATGAGTTTGAAACGTTTCAGCATTGGTGGGTGGGTTGACACGTGGCAACAGTATATTCCCGAGTCTGGAACTTTGGCATCTGTCAGGGCCAGCCTCCAATTGTCACCAGCAACATCCATCCTGTATCTGTGAAATGATGAAACCTATGTATAATGTATCTTTGGTGGTACATACATACCTTTCTTGTATAGTTACAACTTCCTCCTTAATCATCCAAAAGGAAGGGCCTGCAGTGGGAACGTAAAAGGGCTGCTGACGATAATGATAATAATATAACTTCGATGGAGAGGTAATATGTAATCTTTACATAATACAAAATAAACTCGCTCAGAAGCATTGCAATACATTATTTTTATGATAATAGAATTTGTTAATAATATTAAGCTTAGTCTCCTAGCAATCAAAGGGAACCTCAAATTAAAACATCGGCGTCGATTTAAAACCTAACATATATGTTGAATTAGATATCTGTGTGGATACATATGTGGAACAAAAATGGTTAAATTTTTCTAAAATATATAGTTTATCATTCATGTGTAAGCAGAAATAAACCTTTATTTATTGAATTATCTATAACAGTATTTTAGGAAATTTGCAATATAAACTTGAGTTAACTATCGTTTGATAATATTGACAGATGTCCAAACTTCCTGAACTTTTATAAAACAAATAAATAGTTTCGACAGTATTATCAGTAGCTTCATAAACACTGTAACGGCAAAAGTAACTAATAAACAAAGTGAAATAAACAGAAAATACGTGGATAGAAAGACAAATCGGAAGGGAAACTTTATCGCCGTCAAACTCGTGACCAAAGTAAATATTGAGGTATGTTGTAATCTATTAGCAATTTACGATCTTGGTGAGTTACCTTACCTAAGTAAATAATAAAAAAGCCTACGCCTATACCGTTATGGTTTCTTTTGTTTTAGAAATCTTTATGGGGACAAGTTTATTATTAGTCAAATATTATGTAAAAATGTTTACTAATTGCAGTTTTTAGTGCGTTCAAAGGTTGAGCTTAGGAAAATGTAAGTAGAAACATTTTTTAAAGGTAAACGTAAATCAATCCTAATGGAACTCGTCTGTATAAATAGAAGAATTACTAATACTAATAAATAGAAGAATTACTAATACCTAAAATTCTTACGGTTTAAAAAATACAACCATATAATTGACAATCAGAGAAATAATAGTCGTCAAATGATCATATAATTCCATATATATCTTTAAAGCGTATCTCTGGTGGGATAGGATCACCAAACTATTCCCAGCACCGCTGACATAGAAAGGAGAGTGCCCCTTTCTATGTCAGTAGTGCATATCCAAGATATAAAAAGTCTTGTTCACTTGTTCTAGTACTGCATCATTAACCATAATTCTTACATTTGTTCTGGTTTCGTCTCTTTTAAATAACATCTTCGTCTTCTTCGCATTCAATTGGAAGCCTTCATGATACAATCATCTTTCATCCCTCTAACTAGAGTTTGCAGATCAGTTGGATTTGCTGCAAGCACCACGGTAGCAGCAGGCAGTTTACAACTATATCACCCATTTGCAATCCCACACATATAGATCTTATTCTCTGATGACAATTGTCGAGATACACGATAAACAGTCTTGCTGACAACACGCAACCCTGATTGACATCAATATTGACGACAAACCAGAGCGATATGTTGCCGTTTAGCCGGATACATGTTATACAGTCCTTCCTGTGGACTGCACAGCACGTAGTAGGGCACCGTCAATACCTTATCTGCCAAGATCTATCATACTGCCAAGTATGCCCCAGAGTTTCTTTCGTATTACTCTATCAAATGCTTTTTAATCATATTCTAATATAAATGAATTTTGATATTACTCATGAGTATGGTATCTTACCTACCTTTTAAATAGAGGTATTTAATATTACTGCGTTAATGATTTTAATTTTATTAAAGTTACTGACACTGTGAGCCTATTTTTATTGTCATAATAGACCAACTAAATAATATATAATGATAATTTAAATAGGTACTTTCCGGTAATACTATTGACTTAGACGTTAGCCACTTAGAGCAATTTCTCAATATTGGCTAACATTTATGACACCTATACACGACCACCGAAATTGTTCGACCGTTAAAAGAATTTATTTGTTAGGTCCATTGCATGGCCGACTCTTAACAAAGTCTACTACATTCAACTTTGCCTCAAACAGCAATTCCTTCTCTGGAAACTTAACTGCGAGAAATTTAGGTTGATTTTCTTTTAACGAGTCGATTTATATCTCTTAGTGTTGGCCTAATCACCACTTATAAATAGAGAAAAATGAAAGAGATATAAACCTAAAAATACTATTTAGTTATAAACCTCTGTTAAATATTGTGCAATGCAAATTTTAATTCAAAGGTCGGTTTGATTTAAACAGATAATTAATTATCTACCGAATCCTATTCATAATTTAATGTATTTACACAAAATTAAGCTTTGCGCAATATTAATTTAATAGCTAACATAATTCAAACTGCTTTTGTATATGTTTCGCTTCAAATATAGATGGTTTGTTTGTTGCTCAAACTTAAATTTATGATCACTATAATGACTTATTGTTTTTGTTCAGTCGTTATTATTATGAGAGTTTCCATAAGATAGAATTAAATCAATTAGCGTGTAGTATTGGATCTGTTTTACAAATTTATTTTTTAGAACATGAGAGATGTTTTTCTTATGACTAATTTATCAATTAAAACAACTTAATTCAATCTGGAAAAATAATCTTAATGTGTCAAAGGCTTGATAGAAAATCATTGATGTTGGTTCATATATTTTTTTTTTAATTTATTTAAACTTCTTTGCACAAATAAAACGTACAAATGGCGGACTTAATGCCAGTAGGCATTCTCTACCAGTCAACCCGAAAGTTAATGGAATAGATACATTAATAAAGCGGTGCTACAAAAAAAATTAATAAAGTCAATATATGTTGGTTCATATCTTAGTGGCTAAAACATTTTATATTCTAGAAATTGACACTAACAAAACCGATTCATTATCATAGGTTGCTAGCCCCGGTATTTATATAATCCTTATTAAAGAAAAAAATATAATCAAAGCTCACCTAGAATCTGCCGTATGTGTATCTAAATTTACTGTGAGAAGCTCTAAATTTTCATTTTCAGATACTCTTATCCATGAAACCTGTAACAAAAATGATATTACAATCGGAAATATATACGGTGTTAACAAACGAGTACACATATTTTTAAAGCTGATAGAACTCAGCTCTCGAAGTATAAAACATTAAAGGTTTTATGATGTTTTTAAAGGAAATTGGGAAACAAATTTGCTTTGTAAAAACATCCTGTTAATGATATGATTAAAAATTACCTTTTTGAACAAATTTTGATACCTCTTTTAAATATTTGTTAACTGACCACTTCACGTTGATAAATCAAATACTTGAATGACAATGTGATGCTCATTCTATGATAATGATATATATATATAACAGACTGCTATTGACATGACATAAAGCATTAAATAACATAAGGCACAAGCGGATTTTTTAGTGACTGTAGTTAAGTAATCAAAAGTGAAATTTAAGGTCTGAGACAAAAAAGAACCTAGGAGCGGAATGAACGGTCTAGATTTTACGACAAACCAGTGTTAAATGAGAGGTGTTCATTCGATTACACTAGGTTTTTTTTTATCTAAAAAACAGTCGCTTTCAGATTTATAAAGTTCGCTAGTCGTTTATTTCCGACGCCATCGGCTAAGTAACCGATACACTCAACATCAGGTGATTTACGGCCCGCTGCCTTTACCAGGCCACATAATAATCTCACCCGTACTTCTTTCTAGTTTTTATAAAAAGGTGATTTAATAGTTTCAGTAAAATTGCTGCGATCGGAAAAAATGTAGACTTACTGAACAGTCGAGCTTAAAATTAGAGTAATGTTCTAATTTAAGTATACTAATAAATATCATTTGGTCCTAGGTTTAAAAATGGAAATATAGTTTCGTTTTTTTATTTTAGAAATATTTCAATCTTTCTAAACATACGCTTTTTTTATTTCAGATCTATCGACCTTCATTGAAAATGAAAACCTTTCAAATCATCTTTCTGATATTTAATGATAATGCTTTCTTTAAATTATATTTCGGGTTTTTCTGAAGGCTATTTGGTCACAGACTAAGTAAATACTCTATTAACCTCTTTTTGTGATGCGTCACAAGAAGAGAATATACGCATAATGACTGACTTTTTGAGCAAGAGAAGTGAAAAAAAATCTATCAACTTACTGTTTTGTCTCTTAGTGATGTAACTCGGCAGTCTAACATGACTGTAGATCCAGTATCAGCGTCGACAATAGTTTCATCTGAATTTATATCGTCTTCGAAAGACGGAGGCTTGAACCTACAAAATAATACATAATTAATACTCTTGTTTCCTATGTTGCATTAAACCAAGGCATCCTCATAAAGACGTTAGTCGTTAGTTGAGACTTTTTAGTTGAGTAAAACTAAGTTCACACAAGTAATTGCTCGACTATAGAAACGAATGTCATAATACCATCATATTATCGCCCTTTTACGTCCCCACTGCAGGGCCGCAAATCTTCCTTATGGATGGTTAAGGAGGAAGCAATAACCCTCCACCCTGTCCCAATGCGGATTGGAAGGTATTAACGACTGCAAATGCAGCCAGGACCAACGGCCTGACGTGCCTTCTGAAGCACGAAGTAGCTCGAGTAATTTTTTGGTCACCATATTCGTGGGCCGAGGCGCTTATCCACTACATCACTGAACAACTTAGACTATCACATTAATATTTTTAAGATATTCCGTCCAGATAGAGTAAAGTTCACACAAAGTGGCAATCTGTCATGCAAAGAAATAAAACCTTGAATAACTTTTGAAGTAGATTTCACTTAACTAAATCTATCATGCTGCTGTGTTGGATGTCAAGTTCGAGACTGATTTTATTACAGCAGAGCGATTCCGTGAAAATCCGAACCTGAATTAGAATTCACTTAGGTGTCCGAATTCACTTTGAAAGCGAATTTCCTTAACATATATTATTGTAGACATTCTAATGATTCCATTCTTTATATAAGAATATGTTGCGTATAATGAATAATTAGCTGTAATATTACAAATTAGCACAACGTATTTGTTTTTAACAAAATTCACCATCGTGTAAAACAAAATGTATCTTTACGTTGAAAGTGAAGAAGGGTCACCGATCGCCGCTCGTACAGCTGGCATGTTATAAAAATAACATAATCCATTTCAAAAACAACAACAAATGTTTGTTGATGAAAGCTTCCAGTGACCTAATTATTAAAGCAGCTACTTACTGGGGCCTCGTATAAAGATCAGGAAAAGCGGTGTTCTTGGTAAGTGAGCTGATCATATTGCAAAACTAACTTTCTTACACAAAATATATAACCAAGAATGATTGAATCCTACGCGTCTCAGATTTTCTAGACCTGTATCCTTTCGAAACTCACTTTACTTATGCCACGAAACCTATTTAAGGTTAAGCGAATTTCGCTTTCGAAGAGAACTCGAATTCACTTAGGTGAATTAGGTGTTAGGATTTTTACGCAATCGCTCTGCAAGAATAAATAGTAAGGCTGATTTTTTAAGATAATCGCACTGTCGATAAAAATGTAAAAAGCAATTGATTAGAAATAAAACATTCAAAATAATTTAAGTGTCTTCTTTCAGATATGGGCCGAACCTTATACATGTGTATCTTAACGCTCTTTAGCAACTAGAATATTCTGATCACGCTTTAGTCACATCCGATTACAGATTCGGCTAAATGCAGGTGGTGGATACACTTGCAATCAGTGATGTTGAGCTTGCGATATTCTATCAGTTGAATTAGTATATTACAGCAGCTTTAAACTATGATGAACTATCAAAGCCCATTGATTAAGTTCAACAGTATCAATGGATAGTACCTATTAATAGTTACCCATCTCTATTTTTTTAATTAACATATAGTTGAATTTCGTGGTTTTGGTGTATTTATCTATTAGTATTTGTGTAACAATACGATTAGCTGAAATTCCATACTTTGTATGGTATGGTATCGATCCGAGGTTAAGAAACACTACTATAGATATTATTACTATCGACACTATTGACTGTCATAGAAAGTCACACAAAATTTTTGCATCATATAGTTCACTCTAACATCTTATCATCTAATTGATAGTATTATTATCACTATGGTCATCTTGTTTAAAGACATTAATTTGATAGCGTGAACACTATTAAGAAAATCTTTAATTTTGACAGTATGAAAAGAGTGGCTTGAGGGATATTTTACACTATCATTACGAAAAATATCGGTATCGGTAATACTAAATATACAACACTGCTTATGATCGGAAATTTGTACTAGAATATCGCAGCTTTATTTATATACACTCTCCTATCTCAGTTCATTAGTTCAGAGCTGCTTCGGATAACAATTAATATTTTGAGAATATTGTATCAAACTTATAACAGACTATTATTTAAAAATACTACAATGAATAATGATTAAGAATATCAAAAGAATCATTTTAACAATACAAAGCTCACCTGAAAATTTACCCATCAAAACTCATCATTCATTGTTTGGTATATTTAACCTCCTTATTTCGGGGGAAGAAAGCCGGTTTTAAGAAGTCGTGCTTTTTTTAGGCCATGGATTCGATTCTTGGTCGGGTCAATGTAGAATTTTTCTATCCTATGTATCTATGATATTCATAATACAAGTAGTTTAGCTACTAAATTTGTGATCAGCAGAGCGATTCTGTCAAAATCTAAACCAGACTTCGAATTCACTCATGTGTGAGAATTCTCGTCATTTAGTGTTAAAATTCTATTGATTCCATTATCGTAAAAAATAAACAAGATTAATTTACACGTGTCTCAAATATTCTATTCCTATTTCGAAACTCATTTCACTTATGCCACGAAACGTTATTATCAATTCAAGGTTGAGGGGATACCGCTTTTGAAGTGAATTCAGACATCTTAGTGAATTCGAATTCTGGTTCGGATTTTTACAGAATTGCAGGTCTGCAGTGCTATTATATTATAAAAACAGCATAATTTGATTTGAGTGAGTCGCGCAGAGCTGTCACTGCTTAGATTTCTAATCAAATAAAACCTTCTTGAAAAGTTAATTTCATTGAAATTGAACATGGAATTCGTTGCTATTTTGTTTAAAAAACACAATAGCATAATTTTGCAATATATGTGATCTTGTCAAAGATTTCTTTATCTATGTAGGTATTAAATAGAATCAGGTGTTATTTTGTGAAAGTCTATTGCTATAACCGTGAACACAAATGTACAAACGCCAACAAATCTCACAAAATCCATTCTAAATATATTTCGCTCCTCCACGGAGCATTCGCAAGAGTTTTTAGACCTTGTAGCGCCAACCACCCAGACCAACCTGAGGATGTTTCGATGAGGTGCGAAACACATGTAGAGTGTTTTTTTGGAGATTTCTTGCCGTATTATTTGTGTTAACAGCAGGTCTTGTTTTACGGTTAGGTTAGGTTAGTCAGAAGAATAAGAAGAAAGCACAAATATTACATAACAGAAATAGTAAAAACCATCAAAAAAGCTTTTAAATACTGTCTTATGTTGCTATTAGTCTTGACCGCAAGACTGCAATTGAAAGTTTTTGTTCATTTTGTAGCACTCGAGGTTTCAAAACCAGTGAGTGTTCCTAGACGATAGGTACTAGTTTATGCCTTATTTAATTAAATCTTAACTCAAACACTTGCCAGCTGCGGCTTTGATTCACCATTCCGTTATACGTAAAGCTATATCGTTTGAAATAATATAGATATATATGGAATTGTTTATTGCCATTGCACAAATTGTTCTCTATTAATTAGAAACAACAATTATTTATGTAGAATCTCATTTTAATGTCATATTTAAATATTAAAAATTTGAATTAAACATTTCATATATTTTGTATTTTTAATAAAATATTACTAAAAATACTGTAAGTATATTGGCAAAATATATATAGACATATTTTTCTTTTCGTTTCTCCGAAGTTGACAAGTTAAAAAGAGAAAGAAAAAATGTCATGTTTTCAATTTTGTGTACCTACTGACTGCATTTGTTCCTGTATGATAATCCGTTATAAAATTTAATCTTGAAATATTCATTAGGTACCCAGCAGGTTTTGAATGAATTAAATGTATTCCACTGTTATCTTCAAAACGACTGTTTGCATACATATATTGTGTGGAAAGTACTTCGTCTTGAATATGCATGAGAAATTCCAGACTGACTATTGCTTCTAATGTATTCGAATTATGTTTCAAAAAACAAATAATATGAAAAACTTGCAAGATGACGCTTTATGATGTAATTGGAAATACTTGCTTACCGCCAGTGGCTTTGTTCATGTCCATATATATGACTTCCTCTTGAATTACTCTGTATATTGACGAAAAGGCATTAAGCAACAGGAAGCAACTTTACTTTATACTATGTAAAGATTATAATATTTTAGTATACGTATGTGACTGATTTAATTTATTATCTCGAGCTCCTCCTATATATTTAGGAAGGCACGTTATATAGTTGATTATGACTGCATCTACAGTTTTTCATATCCACCAATTCGCACTGGCCTTGTGTGGTAAGGTTCTGTTTTACCTATTCGATTCCATCCACCGAAAAGGTCTGTGCCCAACAGTGTAAGTATAACCTTTACGGATGAGTTAACCCATAAAAGTGATACTACCCGCCATATAAACTATTGCAGAGCGCAGTCCGTTCTCATTCTTCGTGGACTCATCGTGGTCTACAGACGTTTGGGTTTTAGACACTCTCACTGTTGTATCATAAACTTAATAACGCAAAGTACAAGAAGTAGTTTAGATTAGTATTTGGAGTTATCGCTATTCTATAGTATATTAGTGTTCATAAGTCACATTATTAACGTCATAAAGTATTTAGTGATAATATAAAATAGATAAATAATTAGTAGATTCATATTATAAAGCTTCTCTGATTGCACTTTGTTGACATATTTATTAGTTGATGCTACCTTGGACATTTTTATATTAATATTATAAGGAGGAATAATTTAATGGCAAACTACTGGACCGTTTGTAAAAATTCTTTCACCTACGAGAAGTTATATCATATGCAGGTAGGAAATAATTGCGGTAAACAGCTAGTTGTTAATAAAGAAATATCAGGAAATTGACAGACAGTGATAATTAATATTATTCCTTATATCTTAAAATACACCCTACATTTGTTAACAAACGGGTTGTACCCAAAACCCAAAAAAATGTAACCCAGATTAGGCTGTTTATTCAAAGTGGGCACATTTGTATAAACGTGCCCTGTTTAGGAATTAACTAGGCGAAT